GAGGGGGGAGGGGCCTCGGGAGTGGCTGCACGTTGCTGCTGCTTTTAAGTCGGGTCTGTCCCCCTACAGGGGGATTTTCGACGAAAAATAACAGATACCTCAAAAATTGTCCAAAAATAATTGAAAAATAGTTCAGGCACTATTTTTGGATTCTTTTTTGAATATGTTTCTGTTATTTTTGGTGTATTTTTTATTTTTCATCGAAAATCCCCGTGTATGGGGGACAGGCCCGACTTAATGCTGCTTTTTCGGTTGTCAGCAAGGGGGGGGAAAGGACACAGGTGCACAGATAGGCGCTGGTTCCCAGGAGAATATGGGAGAGTCTGGGAAGCGGAGGGGGAGGCGGCAGTCCAGAACATGTAGAAGATAGTGGGGATCCTGGGAGTTACGCTTATTCTGCTGTATGTCCCCAGGGGCGCCTCCAGTCAGGTGGGCGACGCAGGAAAGCGGGCTCGGCCGCGCCAGCCATCGCGCGGGAGCTTCCTGCGCAGGGTGGCGCGTAAGCGCCCTCTCCTCCGCGCGGTGTGCCACGCTGGCGCGCCGCGCGAGCCGCGGCGGAAGGTCGCTGTGCCCTCCCGCGCAAGGGCCGTCTCTTCGAGTCGCTCAGGTGCCGGTCGCCCGCGGCTCGCTCAGGAGGAGGAGGAGGAGGAGGACGACGAGGACGAGGAGGAGGAGGAGGAGGAGGAGGAGGAGGACGAGGAGGAGGAGGAGGAGGACGAGGAGGAGGAGGAGGAGGAGGACGAGGAGGAGGAGGAGGAGGAGGAGGAGGAGGAGGACGAACCGCCCCGCTCAGGTGCCCGTCGTCCGCGGCTCGCCGTACGTCACGGCCGAGTACGCGGGGGCCACCCCGAGGCTGTCCACGGAGCAGCAGCTGAGGCCCGACGCGGAGGGGCGCTTCCGGGTGGGCGTGGACGGCGAGGCCGCGGGCTGCGACCCGGGGCGGCCGCTCAGCGGCAAGGCTCGCGCCGTGGGGACCCAGCGCCGATCCGAGAAATCCGCGCGGACCTCCGAGTTGTTGTGTTTATGTGACTTCTCTTGCTCCCCTAACCGTGCGGGTCCTGCACCGCCTCGGGGCGCCGCCTTTGGGCTCTCGCGCCGCCAGGACGCCATTCCCAGGCGAATGTTAGATCCGTAGCTTTGTTCTCCTATTTCGGATCCGTGCCAGCAGAAGATCCTGACCTTCGGGCTGGTCCAGAGCGACGCGACGTGGGCGGTCTTCGAGTTTTTATATCTATGCCACGTTTTGTTCCCCCTATTTGGGATCCGTGCCAGCAGAAGGTCCTGACCTTCGGGCTGGTCCAGAGCGACGCGACCTGGGCGGTCTTCTCGCCGCCGGGCGTCGAGTGGACCTGCACGCCCGAGCCCTTCGCCCTCACGGCGAGCGGCCCCGTGCGGGACGGCGCGGTCCGCGCCGCCATCGTCAACAGCTGCACCACGGGGGCCAGGCCCTCGCCACCGCGAGAGGGCCTCCCTGCTTCCTCTTCCTCCTCCTCCTCCTCCTCCTCCTCCTTTACGTTCCTTTTCCTCCTTCTCCTCCTCCTCCTCCTCCTCCTCCTCCTCCTCCTCCTCCTCCTGAGGTCCTTCTCCTCCTCCTCCTCCTCCTCCTTTTCCTCCTCCTCCTCCTCCTCCTCCTCCTTCTACGTTCCTTCTTTCTGTTTACCAGCAGGGCGGGTGGGACCCCCCCCAAGAAAACGGACCCCCCCCAGATCCGTGGCCCCGAGGGGCCCCTTTGGACGCCCCCGCAGGAGGCCCCCCCAGGGTTCCCAGAGCCTCTGGGAGCCCCTGCCGGGCCTGGGGCAGCGGGCCCACGTCGGTCAGGCGGGTGGCCGAGCGGCCCCCTGAGGACCCCAAGAGGTCCCAGACACCCACCAGACGCCCGATGACGACCCAAAGAAGATCCCCGATGGGGCTCCCGAAACGCAGAACACCTCAATTGTCCAAGCTTGTTGCATGATTCGGGGGAGCCCTCTTCTTCGGTCTTCCTGGGCGCCCGAGACCGCCCAGGAGGCCCGAAAATCATCCCAAAACTATCTGAAAGGGCTTCCAAGCAGTCCAAGAGAGCCCCAAGACGGCACAACAGGGTTCCAATGAAGAGGGCCCCATGACGGCCCAAAATTGCCCCAGGACACCCCTCGACGAATTCCATTGTTGGAAGCATGGTGGCCCGAGGAAGCGCCACTGGCCTTCAGAAGGCGCCCAGGAGGCCTCCAGTTGGCCCCAAGGAGCCCTTAAAACATTGTCGTGAGGCCCCCATGACGCTCTCCAAGGAGGAGCCTCCGCAAAAAGAGCTGAGGAGGATCACAGGACAGGGCGAAACTGATGAAGAGGAAGGGGACGCATGAGGGAAGGACAGTGAAACACATTATCATAGCGGCGATGCCGGAAAAGGCAACAAGGAGTTATCGCTAAATTGTCAGTTTACCTTCCTGCCCTTCCGCCTGCACGCCAAAGTTCAAGGACCAAGGTACACGGCGCAAATCGCCAATGCTGTCTTATTGTGCTGGCCTCTGGTCAGTGCCGCCGATCCGGGGCGCTCCAGATGATGATGATGATGATGATGATGATGATGATGATGATGATGATGATGATGATGATGATGATGATGATGATGATGATGCTGATGCTGATGCTGATGCTGATGATGATGCTGATGCTGATGCTGATGCTGATGCTGATGCTGATGCTGTTGATGATGATGATGGTGATGGTGATGGTGATGATGCTGGTGATGGTGATGGTGATGATGGTGATGACGATGATGACGATGATGATGATGCTGATGATGCTAATGATGCTGATGATGCTGATGATGATGATGGTGATGATGATGCTGCTGCTGATGATGATGATGATGATGCTCATGCTGATGCTGATGCTGATGCTGATGCTGATGCTGATGATGATGCTGCTGATGATTATGCTGATGATGATGATGATGATGATGATGATGATGATGGTGGTGGTGGTGGTGGTGGTGATGATGATGATGATGATGGTGATGATGATGATGGTGGTGGTGGTGCTGATGATTATTATGATGACGTTTATCATGGTAACGGCCATGGGACCATCTTGGGCGTCTTGGACCGACCGTTCGGTGATTCGGGGCTTTCTTGGGCCGTCGTGAGGGCCTCTTGGGGCCCTGTTGGCTCGTCTTGGGCCTCTCTTGGGCTCGAACAAATCATGCGGGAACATTCTGGGGGCCCCAAAGGGCGCGCGGGGGGCCTCAAGAAATTTGAGAGCTTGGGGTCCGAGCCCATAAAGAACCTTCAGACTTGAGGACTGAGGCTGTGCGTGTGTCTGTGTGCACAACGTCTGGGCAACCAGCAAATGCGGCCCATGCGCAGAGACGAGGGGGAAGGGAAGGGAAAAGCAGCACGACCGGCGGGCGACGCCAGCATTAGGGGACGCCCCCCGAGGCCCAGAGCCCAGGAAGCCAGGTGCAGCCCCAGCGGGCCAGGTCCAGCCTCCTCCACCCCGTTTCCTCATGAATCACCCCATCCACCTTCTCCTCCTCCTCCTGCTCCCCTGTCCTTCTAGATAACTTCCCTTCCTGTCGCACCGCAGACGTGTCGTTAGGGCGGGCCGGGAGTCTCGCATGAGGCTCTCTTGCCTCTCGCGATCCTGACGCTTGCCGTGTGCGGCAGATCCGCGTACGGAGGGCGGGCCGTGCTCGAGGTGGAATTCTCGCCCGAGCGCCGCGCACGTCCGCTGCAAAAGTTCGAAACAGCTTCAAGGATGGAGGGGGGTGGTTTTCAAGAAGGAGCTCTCGCCTTAGTGCCGCCGCGAGCATTCCTCTGTACAGTTTGTAGCACCTCAAAAGATGGAGTACGCTCGGTGACACGATCCGGCTATCGCTTGAGCGCTGCGCGCATTCTTTGCAACATCTGACAGCAGTTTCCGTGCTGCTGGGCGGTTCCTTTTCAAATTGGGGTGGTCGTATTTTTCTTGACGGCAAGGTGCACGAACAAGCGACAGAGGCTTGAGCAGATGCAACAGATGCACAGGAGAAGGGCGGCTCCCCTTCAAGATTGGACGTTTGTGTGGGGCTCCCTCGGAATCTGGAGACCAGAAGCTTGGACATAAGGTACGGCTGCCCGGGAGGGCGGCCTCTTTTCAACACGGGGTTCTCGCCCGAGGCTTCCTCGACGCGCGCGGGCAGGCGTGGAAAATTGCACAAGAGTTAACACTGGTGGGCTGCTGTTGACTGACGGCTGCTCCGCGATGCCCGAGTCCAGGTCTACTGCAGGATGTCGTTTTGACCGCCCTGCGGTCGTCTTCGTGCGGGGTGCGCGTTCTCGGGATGGCCCTCTGGAGGGGCAGCGGATTCATCCTTCCCCTATGCGTCGCTGCCGTGGAAGAAAAAACAAGGAGCAATAACAAAAGTTGCGTCGCTGCCGTGGAAGAACACAAGGAGCAACAACAAAATATTCATCCTTCTCCTCTGCGTCGCTGCCGTGGAAGAAATAAACAAGAAGCAACCACAAGAGTTGTTCTGGTGGGGGCTGTCCTCCCTCAACATGGGGATCTCGCTTGGCACTGCGCTGAACTGTACGATCGTACCTTTGCGCGCTCCTTCCTGCACCCGCTGCATGGGTGCCAGGCAGTTGGGTCCTTTTCAAGCCGGGGTTCCCTCAACATGAGGATCTCGCTTGGCACCGCGCTGAACTGTACGATCGTACCAAGGGTGCCAGGCAGTTGGGTCCTTCTCAATCTGGGGCTCTCTCTTCTGAGCGGCAGGCCCACTGGGTGCTGCTCTTTCCAGGGGGGGGGGCGCTTCTTGACGTGGACAGGACGGCCTGTAGGGACTTGTGAGGAGGGTACCCGGGAGGGGAGGACGCACTGCAGCATCATGGGTGCATTTTGGGTTTGCTCTGGTCTCTCCTTCTCCCTCGTTCCTCCTCCCTCCTCCTCCCTCTTCCCCCCCCCGCTTCCCTCATCCTCCCTCCCCCCTCCACCCTCCAGAATTACGCATTATGAATACGAGTCTCCTCTCAACCCTGACTCCATCCGCCTCTCTGCGCGCACTGTCTGTTCAATGTGTTTTCGCACGGTGTTTTACAATCCGACTCTGGTCGGCGTTTAAAAATTGTGCTTCCGCTGCAGCGTGGGCCTCATTTTCGGATCGGCGCCCTGCTCCCGTCGTTCAGCACGGCGATCTTGCCCGTGCGCGGGGCGCTTTTCGGGATCCGAGTCCTTCTCCTCGTTGCCGCCCCCCTCGGTTCCCCTCCTTCGCCAGCCCCTGCTCCTCCCGCTCCTTCCACGGCAGCTCCTCCTGCTCCTCCCGCTCCTTCCACTGCAGCTCCTGCTGCTTCTTCTGCTGCTGCTGCTGTTCGTCCTCGTCCTCCTTCTTCCTAATCCGCCTCCTTTTCCTCCTGCTCGTCCTCCTGCTCATCCGCCACCTCCTCTTCCAATGTACGCAGCTTCCTTGTTTTTCGATTTCGGATAACACGATGGGGGTCCTGTTTGGAGTTCCTGGTCCGTTATGACACGCGTCGGCGGATAACGAAAAAAGCAGCGGAATGGGAAGGGATGGGTGGGATGGGTAGGACGTCAGACATGGTTCGAGCACATCTAGCTTGTCCCCTCCCCCCCCTTCCTCCCCTCCTCCGCCATTCCCCCGTCAATAGTTGCACCACAGGGGCCAGGCCCAGGAGGCATTCTTTCGATCTGGTCGATCCGAGTCGATATCTCGAAGGGGCGCCAGTCGAGACAGCAGCGGCCGTCCCTGGCGTGCTTCGTCCTCTTGGGGCATCCTGGAGGCTTCTCCTCGCCACGGCTGGATCCGCGTCGAAGATCGGGTCGGGCAGGACTCTGGGAGGGCAGGGGTGGATTCTGAGTGGATGTGGACATGGGCTGGGCGGGCGAGCCGCCGTTGCCTCAACTGGCATCCCTCCGAAAATTGGTTCCGCTGGGCTCGACCCGATGCGGCTCCCATGCTCGCATGATCCGATGCGGTCCGAGGCTCGCACGGCACTGCCGTGCATCTTGGCGCAGCCGATCCGATCCGATTCCGACTCCCCTGAGATCCGACGTTGCGAAAAATTGCAACATCGCGAGCAATCACGACCAGAGCCTCAGACCCCATCCCGGGGATTGGTTCGAGCTGGACCGATCTGTGATGTCCCTCTGGCCCGAAGCCGAGCGAATACGCCCGGCACAAAAAAGATGGACACGCCCGGAGCTCAGGTGTGCAGCCCGATTCGATGCTGGCTGATCCTGCCAGGCCCCACCACTGCGAGGGCTTCCCAGAGGGCAGAGACGCCTCGGCCTACCTGGGGCTCCTGTCGGACCACGCCGGCGCCTACCCGGTGGGCGTCTCCTGGGACTTCGAGGCTCGCAGGGGAGAGATCGGCACAAGCATGAGCGACCGAGGCCGAGCGGATTGCTACGATCGGCGCCGGACCCCCCCAAGGCCGGCGGCGCCTCCGGCGCCGCCCCCCGGCTCGTGCTGCTCGCCAGAGACAGATTACCAGTTTGAAACATATCCCTATCCCTATGTTTGGCATCACCTCACCTCGATGCCGTTCTTATAAGGATTCCCTCGGTTTCTGAGGGCCTGTCCCTAAGAGTGTCCTCGCTTTTTGCTCGCCCATCTTAGGGATAGGGATAAGTTCGAGGCTGGTTGCTAATAGCCCCACCCGCCCAGGAACGTGCGGTTCCCCTATCGGCCCATCGCCAATCTGTCTGCGCTGCATCGCCGATTCAAGCTCATGCTTCTCCCCCCCCCCCGAACCAGCTCCCCACCCCTGTCGACCCCCCTCCACGTCCACTTGTCCAGCTGTGGGGGAGGAGGCGCAGGAGGATGAGGAGGAGAAAGAGGAGGAGGCGGAGAGTAGGAGGATGAGGAGGATAGGATAGGAGGAGGAGGAGGAGGAGGAGGAGGAGGAGGAGGAGGAGGAGTTGAGGAGGAGGAGGGAGGAGGATCTGTCGCTTTTTGCTCGCCCATCTTAGGGATAGGGATAAGCTCGAGGCTGGTCAACAGAGGGGAGGCACCGGCGCCGATGCGAGGCATCTGCGCGCGGGCCTCCGACAGTTTTATGCTGCCGCCCCCGGGCGGGCTCTTCGGCTCCTCCCCGGGAGGTGGCCGAGCGCGAGGGCCACGTCACCTGGGAGTGCACGGGCGGCGAACCCGCATCCACCCTCCTCCTCCTCCCCTCCTCCCCCTCCTCCTCCTCCTCCCCCTCCTCCTCCTCCTCCTCCTCCTCCTCCTCCTCCCTCTCCTCCTCCTCCTTCCCCCTCCCTCCTCCTCCTCCCTCCTCCTCCTGCCTCCTCCTCTCCTCTCTCCTCCTCCTCCTCCTCCTTCTCCTCCTCCCTCCTCCTCCTCCTCCTCCCCCTCCTCCTCCTCCTCCTCCTCCTCCTTCTCCTCCTCCTCCTCCTCCTCCTCCTCCTCTTCCTCCTCGTCCATCCTCCTGGGAGTGCACGGGTGGCGAACCCGCATCCACGCCCCCACGGTCTGGGCTTATGTCGGGCCTGTCCCCCTATACAGGGGGATTTCCGACGAGAAATGAAACATATTCCAAACAGGGTCAAAAATAGTCCAACAATAATCAGGGGACAATTTTTTAGCATTTGTTTGCCATTTTGGGGTATGTTTGGGGTATTTTTTATTTTTCGTCGAAAATCCCCCTGTAGGGGGACACGCCCGACGTAAATCCGCGCCCCCGCGGTCTGGGCTCCTGGGGGCGATGCCGCGAATATGCGCGGTCGCACGGAGTTGCGCTCTCCGCAGCCGTGGGGCCTCGCAGCCCGGGGGGCCCCGGCCCGCGCGGCCAGGGTTATGTCGGGCGTGTCCCCTTACAGAGGGATTTTCGACGAAAAATAAAACATCCCCCAAGAATAATCCAAACATAATCCAACAATAGTGTGGGGATTATTCTTTGAGTATGTTTTGACCTTTTTGGTGCTTTTTGTGGGTATATTTTATTGTTCGTCGAAAATCCCCCTGTAGGGGGACACGCCTGACTTAAATCCGCGAGGCCAGGGGTACCCTGAGATCCGACGCTGCGCTGCAGCAGTGTGAAGAACCCAGACCCCCTCGAGTTAGGAAAAAATCGCGACGGGAGGTTTTTCATTCTTTTTGGCCTTTGGGGGCCCTCACTGGCCCTCGGGACCGTCAAAGAACGACTCAGGACGAAAAGCCGGTCCCGGGGAATGGGTCGAGACCTCGGGGGGTCGACGTCATGAAAAAATCATGACGTCGGGGGTCTGGGAACACCACTCGAGCCTTGGGCCCCATCCTTCTGCGCCATTCTTCGACCCGGATCGATCTGCGAGGATCCAGGGGCCCGAAACCGGGCGAAAGACGCCCAGAGTTAGAGAATGCATCGTCTGGATCCCACGGGACACGAGTGTGGTCTTCGCCCGCGAGGAGTGGGACGTCCGGGAGATGGACGGGACGAGGTCAAGGGAGGAAAGACCACACCGACCCCCACTGCTGGCGTTTCCTGAACGGCCTTCGGCGTCTTCCAGAGAGCCCTGCCCTGTCCGATTCATTCCTTGGGTGTGTTCAATAAACGGCTTTGCTTGTCGGGGCGCCGTCGTCGTGGTTGCCGCCGCCGCCGACAATGGCAACGGCTTCGTCGTCGTCGTCGTCGACGACGTCGTCGTCGTCGTTGTCGTTGCGTGGTTGTTCCCCATATCCTAAGGATGGGGTTCTTGTTATCATTTTGACCGCGCGGACGGAACACCTCCCACCCTCAGGTCATCAGTCTCTGACCCACTCACATGTAGACTCACTCATTCAGACTCACGCATACTCAGATGTACTTGCTCTCAGATTCCTGATACTCAGGTTTCTCATGCTCGGGATCGCTCATTTGCAGACTCACTCACACTCCTAGTACTTCCGCGCACAGGGGACGTCTCAGGCGGAGCGCTGGTTTCAGTACTTCCAAGGGGGGGCGCCAGGGGTTGATCATAGGCCCGTTCGCGCCCAGATTGGGGGGGTGTCTCAGGCGGTTTGCCTGTTTGGGTGCCCAACATCCTTCTGTCTCGGAGCAGCTTCCGAGGATGTCTCAGGCGAGGCGCTGGTTTCAGCACTCCCAAGGGGGGGCGCCAGGGGGTACATCACATGCCCGTTCGCGCCCAGATTGGGGGAATGCCTCAGGCGGTTTGCTTGTTTGGGTGCCCAACGTCCTTCTGTTTCGGAGCAGTTTCCGACGATGTCTCGGGCGAGGCGCTGGTTTCAGTACTCCCAAGGGGGAGCGCCATGGGGTTTATCACAGGCCCGTTCGCGTCCAGATTGGGGGGATGTCTCGTGCGATTTGCCTGTTTGGGTGCCCAACATCCCTCTCTTTCGGAGCAGTTTCCGAGGATGTCTCAGGCGGGGCGCTGGTTTCAGTTCTCCCAAGGGGGGCGCCAGGGGGGTTATCACAGGCCCGTTCGCGCCCAGATTGGGGGTATGTCTCAGGCGGTTTGCTTGTTTGGATGCCCAACATCCTTCTCATTCGGAGCAGTTTCCGAGGATGTCTCAGGCGAGGCGCTGGTTTCAGCACACCCAAGGGTGGGGGGGGGGGGCGCCAGGGGGTATTGCACGGGCCCGTTTTCGTCTTCACGGGAGGATTTTCCTGACAGGTGTTCACAGGGAAAGGAGGAGAAAGAGGAGGAGGACAAGAAGGAGGAGGAGGAGGAGGAGGAGGAGGAGGATGAGGAGGACGGAAGGGGGAAGCAACTTCTTAAAGTCGTCGTAGTCTTCGGCGTCTTTCTCAGCCTCGTTTTCCACGCGGATTCGCGGGCACTCGGACGTTGAAAAGGACCATGCCTTCCACCGAAGCTTGCCGTCACTATGAGATGCACATCTGGGGATCTCCGCGTCGAGTGATTCTGATCTTGCCGAGGGGCGGCGCGGCCCCCGTGCAGCTCGCCTACCCCGTGCACGTCCCCTTGCTTTCCAGCGACCTGCTCGGCTCGGTGGAGGCGGGCGCGCGGGCTTCGCCCTTCCACGACATCCGCGGGCCTGCCAGGCCCGCGGGTCGGGGGAGGAAAAGGCGCCCCAGGCCCCCGCCCTCTCTTTCTTTTCGCCTGCCTGGGCCTCTTGGGAGCTGCTGGGCTCGCCTCCCAGTCCTGGTCAGGACGCACTCTGGGAGAGGTCCGCGGAGTAGCGGTATTGCTACCTTTTCGTTTTTCCCGGTGGGGCCCGTTCCGTCCCGATCGCTCCGATGCGGCACCCAGACTTCAAAACGTAATGAACAAGCAGCGCAGAGGACGGTTTTTTCGGACCGCCAGAGCAACGCTCGTTCTCGTGGCGGGCGCCGAGATGACCGTCGAACCGCAGTTCTGGCGGTCGAACCGCTACTCTGATGGTTAACCGCCACATCGGCGGCCCGACCGCGAAAACAGCGGTCCAACCTTCACCGTGGTGGTTTGACGTGCTGGACCGTCCAAGTGACGGTCCATTTGATGGTGGCGCCAGCCTGAAACGGTGACAGACCTCCGTCTCAAGATGTAGTTCGTTCGTCGCTTTCGGCGTCTGGGGCCAGCGCGAAGAACAGGTCGCCGGGGAAGTGGTCCAGAGTTCCAGGGGCCCCGCATAGAACTTCAGATGTGCAGCGCTCCACACGGAGGTGGCTCTGGGAAAACAATTCAAATAGTCGGAAACTAGTCCCAACACTAGTCCAACGAACTAGTCGAAATCGTTCAACGTGCATTCAACTAGTCGCCCGAAATAGTAGGGAAAGTAAGAAGTAATGATTGAAGTAATCAAGGCGTCAAAGGTGCGCGTATCGAGCCGGGCTGGCCAGATCCGATCCGATCCTCGGGCTCTGGCGGCCTGGTGCCAGCCTGGGTGCTCGCGCGGCGGCAGTTTCTGTGCATCCTGGCCCAGCCGATCCGATTCGATTGTACAGTCGGGGCGTTGACCTAAGGAACCCTAAAGAAGGAACGAGGCCCCTATTTTCCATAAGTTGAACTTCGATGTCCTATCGAAAACCTAAGGAAAACCTGAGGCAAGCTGCGAAACACTTAAGGAACGCGGAGCCCCTCCCCAACGAAAAGGGTTCCCTCTTCAGGGCCCCGACTGTAACTCCGTGGCCCGATTCTGTGCCCGATTCTGTGCTCGTTCTGGTCAGTTCCGGTCTCCCGACTCGTCGCGACCTTGGCTCCAGGTCCGCCGTATTTGGGGCGATGTTGCAAGTATGGCGGAACTGTCCACCCTACTTTTTTCAAGCACCTTTGATGTCGATTGCCGCCCTACTTGCTGTCGCCGTTTCCGCCCTGCTTTTGCGGAAGTGGCCGCTTCATTTCTCTGCGGCGGAGATTCCCACTTCAGGGCTTGTCCGCATCGTTCGGGGTGCGTTTCCGAAACCTGTTTCTACTAAGTGGGGAAAGCAACTCCTCCTCCTCCTCCTCCTGCTCCTCCTCCTCCTGCTCCTCCTCCTCCTCCTCCTCCTCCTCCTCCTCCTCCTCCTCCGACCCACGGCGAATCCAGGGCCAGGGTGACTCGCCACGAGCGGCGAGCACACTTGTCTCCGCGCCCTCGCCGCCAGGATCCCCGGGAGGCGTGCTGTCCCGCGGGCGCGCGGCCGCACGCGGGCGCTCCGCGCGGGGCGCCCGCGGGCAGAGATGCCTCCCGCGTCCGCGGGGTCTCGGCGTCGCTCGGACGCGTGCACCTTTCCTGCGGCGAGCACCATCGAGGAGCATCCTGGATCATGTAGCGAAAAACCGCGCACGAGATCGAACAGAAACACGGGGAATGGACGTCCGAGCGACGGCGAGGGGTCGTGGCCCTGGGGGCCCGGCCCGCGGGGCCGCGGGTTCGGGTGCGGCCAATTGGCGCTGAAATTAAAGGACCGCTCTGGGTTCGGAGGGGGCTCGGGGACTTGGGGCCGCTGCTCAGATTCCTGTCGCGCGGGATCTGCTCGTGGCCTGGGCCCACCGTGGCCAGAAGAGCGGACTGATGTCTACGGCATGGGAGCTGATGCCGAGTTTGGCGGGTGTTTGCCGGAGGAAAATAAAAGAGAGCCCCCCTCCGTTCCTGATTTGGCGTTCCCTCTGGCAGCACCTCGACTGCACGTGCCTCGCTCATGGATCTGCCCCCGCCAGGCCCGTCGTGGGCAAGAGCTGGACGCTCACGTACCCCCTCTTCCCGGACGTGGGGCTGGCCGGGCCGCGGCCGATCGCTGGCGGGCTGCGGGAGGAGATGCTGCAGGCGCTGCGTGGCCCTGGCAGCGCGATGTGGAACGGCAGCATGCCAGACAAGGATCGGGGGCGGCCAGCCCTCACTCCCTTGGTTGCCTCGATACGCGCGTTTGGAAACGCAGCACGTCCCGTGTTCAAGACGTCCGTGTCAATACGTTGCGTGCTGGCTCCACGTATTGGACCACGTGTTGGCGAATGTATCGCGTCGGACCTACGTTTTCAGCCGACGTGTTGAGTTCCGCATCGATACGGTACGTGTTGCGTGTTGCGTATCGGGGCAGCTAAGCTCACTCCAGATCCGTTGTACTCTTCGAGGTTCATGCCGGCCGACGTGAGGGCGGATCAGTTCGTCGCGGGCGTCTTGTCGGCGGTTCAAGGAGGAGGCCCTGAGGGACGGGGCCCGAAGGATAGAAAGGGATCCCAGGTTGAACTTCCACTGCTTGAGGCCCCTAATCCTCAGGGCTCCAACCCTCTGGGCCCCGTCTTTGAACCGCCGATTTTGTCATTGGAACAGTAGGGTCGCACTCACCGCCGCAGTCGTCGTACAGGACACCAGGCCTCCCTAGGTGCGTCCTGCAGCGGGGAGCGATACCCATCGCTCGTTCGACGTTCGAGGTTCGAGGCCTGAGGTTCTCCGGCTTTTTCGTCGGTCCTCGGCGACTTTCCAGCCTCGGGGTGCCTTCAACAGCCGCGCCTCGCCGAGAGCGCTTCGGTGGTGCCCGGATTGTCCCGATCGCTGCCAGAGGCTTCAGTTATGGTCCGAAAACTTGTCCTTGTTTACAGATCCGCCGTACTCTGGTTGATTTTCCGATTTGAAAGTGTGTCGGAAATGCACCCCAAACGATGCGACTGAAGTATGGCGGAAATTTCCGCCTCGGAAAAGTGGTGCAGCGGTTTCCGCAAAAGCATGGCGGCAACAGCGACGGCAAAGTAGGGCGGAAATCGACATCAAGGAGCTTGAAAAGTAGGGCGGGAATTTCCGCCCTACTTGCGAAATCGCTCAAAGTAGGGCAGATCCAGTCAGAGGGGGGAGGTATCATGGCCGGTGCCATGACATCTCCCTGGATTTCTTGGCCGGCGGGCCAAAGGCGCCGCGGCAGACCCAAAACTAGTTGGGCGAAGGGTGTTTTCAAGCACGCGCTTGCAGCTGCTGGCAATGAAGAGAGGCTCAACACACTGCTGAGCCACAGGCCACAGAGTGAGTGGGAAGCCGTTGTGAAGGAGTACTCTGCCATAACGGCGGTTACCTTGTTCCCCGTACTGATGTGCCGTTTTGTGCACGCAGTCTCTTGCTTGCTTGCTTGCTTGCTTGCTTGCTTGCTTGCTTGCTTGCTTGCTTGCTTGCTCGTCTTATGTCAGCACGTCGTTTGGTCCCCCCCCTTAGATGCCGCGCGCGTCACGTGCCTCAGGCCATGATTCGCGACCCTCCCCCCCCCCCTGCACGCCCCCCTCTGGAAGGACTTCGACCTGCCCCTGAACTACCGGCTCGGGGTTGGCGACACCTACTTCGCGGGGAAGATGCTCGCCAGGCTTGCGAGGCTCGTCGTGATCGCCGACGAGCTCGGCGAGTCGAGGGAGGCGTACTTCTCCGACATGGTGGGCCGGCTCACCGACCGCATGGAGGCCTGGTTCCACGAGGACTCGGGGGCAACGTCAGGGGGCGCTGGCCCAGGGGGGGAAGCATCGACCCCCAATGGCCCATTCATCGACGAGGGGAGCCAAAATTTACCAGTCTGAAACATATCCCTATCCCTATGTTTGACATCGCCTCACCTCGATGCCGACCTTAAGGATTCCCTCAGTTTCTGAGGGCCTATCCCTAAGATTGTCCTCGCTTTTTGCTCGACCATCTTAGGGATAGGGATAAGTTCGAGGCTGGTTACTAATAGCCCCACCCGCCCAGGAACGTGCGGTTCCCCTATCGGCCCATCGCCAATCTGTCTGCGCTGCATCGCCGATTCAAGCTCATGTTTCTCCCCCCCCCCGAACCAGCTCCCCACCCCTGTCGACCCCCCTCCACGTCCACTTGTCCAGCTGTCAGGGAGGATGAGGAGGAGAAAGAGGAGGAGGCGGAGAGTGGGAGGATGAGGAGGATAGGATAGGATAGGAAAGGATAGGACAAAGATGAGGCCGTTTGGGGGCTGTTATCAAGCTGAACTTAGAACCACTTCGCTGACCCCTGGGTGGTTACATGGATGCTGCCCCCTGGACCGTTGCCAATCCTGGGGACATGCCTGGGGTGTCCCGTTGTCTGGACATTGTCCCAGGTGCACGGGTACCCCGTTGCAGGGGGACCCTGCTCAGAAACGTGCACGCGAGTTTCGGAAGCAGGCAGGTCAGCGTGCGCCTCTCACTGAAGGACCAGACAACTGCTGGCCAAGCGCCAGCTACACGAGAGAGCTCCTCCTCCACCACCGCCACCTCCCCCCACCTCCCCTCCGCCTCCCGATCCGACACGCCAAATGCGTGCCGCTGCGTGGCTACTTATGGTTGTGCTTCCTCCGCTGCCGATGATCAGGGTTATATAGGAAAGAACTGGCCCTGGTCTCCCCTTGAATGAAAAGATATGCATATTCCATTCTTTTCGTTGCGTGCAAGCATCCATGCCTGCCGGCCTTCGTTTGTATGATCCATCCGTCCGAGACGAGCCTGGCGATGGCGTCCACGATGGCAGAGAATGGCGCTGTAATTCGGTCTGTTAAGTAATTGATATGTGTTCCTATTCCCATGGCCATGGGACATTTATGCAGAGGCTTCGCTTCCTTCTAGGCATGAATACATGATGTCTTGCAAGTCCAAGTTGTGATCAACAACTGCACGGTCTTGTTTTGATGGGGCCTTGCTTGGCAAAGTTCTCCGAACACAAAATATACATTCATGCGCATATGTAGTTCGCCTGTTGAAGGATGTTGGCGCTGTCAAACCACGCGTTTGGATTGGTGCGAGTCTTGTGGGCAATGTTTTCCCCCTTCTCACGAATATGTCAAATCTGCCGCGCTTGTGGTCTTTGAAATATTAAAAGGTGTTTGAATCCACGCTGTCACGGATGGTAAATGCATGCATGCGTTACGTCGCTGCTGTTTGGGAATACGACGAATGTCCCCGTCCCCTTTCGCAGAAACACAATCATGTCGAGCGTCCATATGTCTTTGATTGGTAGTTTCTTACGTCTCGATCGCTTTTTCCTTTTTTCCACACAAGTAGATTGCGTGGCATTCGTGTCGGAAGCAGAAGAAGCCTGGTACATCCACGTGCCCACTGATAGCACATGTGTGTACCTTGGAGCATGCCAAAGTTTCATGTGCTTGACCAACAGGGCCCCCATCCGGTGTGTCCAGCGTCTCATGATACATTACTTTTGATGTTGATTTCAAGATGCTCATGGTCTACAGCTTGGCTTCCTGAGTCTTCCGCGAGCGCGTGCGACGTACCCTGCCCCTTCGTCGCGCGCTCATTCTTTTCAGAGTCATGCTGTCGAATCGAACTGCGGGACAAGAAAGCATGGCGGTAATTATGGTGGCAACAAACATAACTACAGTGCGGTGCGCCGTTTCCCTCCCGACTCCCCCTGCCCCCGGAGACGATACGGTGAGGGCCAGTGTGCTGCACCTCGGGTACGACTTTGCACCCTGAACGGCTGGGCGGCAGTCCTGGTCCCTCAAGCCGCAGCCTAGGAGGAGGAGGAGGAGGAGGAGGAGGAGGAGGAGGAGGAGGAGGAGGAGAAGGAGGAGGAGCCAGTTCCCCCCTCCCTCCCTGAGCTCGCCCCCTCAAGTGGTTTTCGGGCCATACTGGGGCCTTCTGCGACCGTTCAGGACAATCTGGGGAACCCCTGGAGCGCTCTCGGCGAGGCGCAGCTGCTGGAGACCCGAGGCTGGGAAGCCGCCGAGATCCGACGAAAGCGCCCGAAAGGCTCGGATCTCGAACTAGCGATGGGTATCGCTCCCCCCCGCAGGACGCGCAGGCGCCGTTCATCTATGACACCACTTGGGGCGGCCTGTTGTCCTGCGGCTGCTCATACGACGATTGCGGCGGCGAGTGCGACCCCTACTGCTCCAATGACAAGATCGGCGGTTCAAAAAGGGGGCCTGAGGGATAGGGCCCTAAGGACGAGGGGCCCCAAGCAGTGCAAGTTCAACCTGGCATCCCTTTGCATCCTTCGGGTCCCATCCGTCAGGGCCTCTCCTTGAACCGCCGATAAGAAGCCCGCGACGAACTGCCCCGCCCTCACGTCGGCCGGCATGAACTTCGGCAGTCGGAGAAGAACAAGCTCAGGGGAGGAAGAGGTACACCGATGCCGTTGCTCGTCCTGGAGAGCCCTCGTCGCCACCGCTGCACGCTCTTCGACACTCTGCTCAGAACGCACCCCGGGAAAGGTCCGGGGAGTACCGGTGTCGTTTTTAGAGGGAAAAGAACTAAGCACATACACCGATTCTGGCCAGGCCCATCCTGAGCCCAGGATCGGTGCATACGCCCTCCTACCTTGGCCGGGAAGGCATATGCACCGACCCTGGGCGAAGGATGGGCCTTGCCAGGATCGGTGCGAATGTGCCTAGAACTCCTCGCCCGAGTTACCTTCTGGTTCCCACACAATCGTCCGCTAGCAGAAGCCTTCGGAGATTGACTCAGATTACAGTCGGGGCCCTGAAGCAGGAACCCTTTTGGTTGGGGAGGGGCTCCGCGTGCCTTAAGTGTTTCACAGCTTGCCTCAGGCTTCCCTTATGTCCTCGACAGGAAATCGAAGGTTAACTTATGGATACAACCCTGACTCCGGATCCGCCCTACTTTGGGGAAATTCGTAAGTAGGGCTTGGAATTTCCGCCTTACTTTTCGAGCCCCGCTGATGCCAATTTCCGCCCTACTTTTCTGTTGCTGTTTCTGTGGATTTCCGCCCTATTCTATGCTGGGTGCAGCCATTTCCGCCCTACTTTTTCGGCCTCTTCTAGGTGGATTTCCGACGCAATTTTAAGTTGGAAAAAAGCCAGGAAGTAGGGCGGATCTGAAGTCAGGGAAGAAGTGCGCGCGGACCTTGCGAAATCCGCCGGCAGAACCCTCGGCTGATTCAGGGGAACAACAAGTGGCATAAACATGAAATCTCGGAGGGCCGCGCGGATGTCTCGGATCGGCGCTGGGGCCCCCTCCCTGGCGCGCGGAGCGCCAGGGGAGGGGCCTCGTGCCTCATTGTGGGTGCCTTAGGTCAGCGCCCCGACTGTGCTCGGGTCGGCGCCTGGCCCCCCGGGGCCTCGCCCACCCCTCCGGCCGCGGCCGCCGGGCCCCACTCCTCCTCCTCCTCTTCGACCCTCTGCTCCTCCTCCTCCTCCTCCTCCTCCTCCTCCTCGACCTTCTGCTCCTCCTCCCCCTCCTCCTCCCCAGGAGGAGCCCAGAAGGGCCCCTGGCTAGCCCAAGAGGTCCCCAAGGCGGCCCACGAGGGAGCCAGGACGACGGCCCCAAGCAGGGGCCCAGAGAGGATGCCCTACGAACATTTCAAGCCCTCCCCTGATTCCGGATCCGCCCTACTTCGGCTTTTTTTCTAACTTAAAATTGCGTCGGAAATCCACCTATAAGAGGCCGAAAAAGTAGGGCGGAAATGGCTGCACCCAGCATAGAATAGGGCGGAAATCCACGGAAGCAGCAACAGAAAAGGAGGGCGGAAGTTGGCATCAGCGGGGCTCGAAAAGTAAGGCGGAAATTCCAAGCCCCACTTACGCATTTCCCCAAAGTAGGGCGGATCCGGAGTCAGGGCAGGGATCCCAAGGATCCGAGGGGGCATCGCGCCTCGCAGCGTCGACGAGCGACGGCTGCACGCCGTGGGCCCGCCGGGCCCCAAAGGTTCTGTCGGGCCTGTCCCTCTACAGGAGGAATCTTCAAGAATAGTTGAACAATAGTCTGGGGCCGATCTTGTGACTATTTTTGCCCATTGAGGGGGTCTTGTTCAAGTATTTTTAATTTTTCCCCCAAAGCGCCCATGTAGGGGGACACGCCGGACCTACCCAAACGACCCCGTGCTTCCTGGGTATCCCGCCTCGCACTCTCGGGTGGGGATCGCTCGGAGCAGAATTCCCTGAACAGACTGTCTGATCGTTTTCGTATTGTTTTGCCGATCTGCGCGGGCCCTCGCGCCCCCCCTCCCCCCCCATGGAGTAGATCGTGGCTGTTTCTGGCGCCTGTCTCAAGCAGGTGGATTCCCCTCCACAGGACGCACTCTTGCAGACCGTCGCGCGTGAAGCAGAGGTCCGGAGCCAGACCCCCCCCCTCCCCCCATCCCCCTTCCGCCCGATGTCGAAACGCCGAATCAGAAAACGCGCCCAGGGTTCGACATGTGTTTTTTTCGAAGGAGCGAGTGGGTGGACTGCCGGATCCAGAATCGGGCGAGCGGCGTTGTCTTCCGTCGTCTTCCGTTGTCTCCCTGGGTCTCCCGTCGTCTCCCGCTGTCTCCCGCTGTCCATCCCTCTGCATCTCCCTCGATCCCTTTTTGTGATTTCTATCCTTCATATCCCAGCACACATTCCCGTCCTCGTCCCTCTATCCCTATCTATATATCCCTATCCCTGTCCCTGCCTATTCCGATCCCCCCCTCGTGCCCCCTCCCATCGTGACCCCTCATCGTGGCCCCCATCTTAACTGTGCAAAGCTGTTGAGGGTCCTCTGCCGCAGCGGCGTCATGATGCTTACATGATTTTGTTACTGCCCCAGGCAACGCCTATTATAACGACCACCACTTCCACTACGGCTACTACGTGTACAGCGCGGCGGTGGCTGCCAAGTACGCCCCCGCGTGGGAAAAAAAGTGGCGGGAGCAGATCCTCGCGATCGTGCGCGACTACGCGAACCCGTCCTCGGAGGACGCGAGCTTCCCTGTCGCCCGGCACAAGGACTCCAAAGAGAACAAGAGCGGCACCGACAGACTTACAGTCAAGACGCTCAGATAACTCTGACATCTGGGCGTTGCGCTTAGTTCACGCCGGGCGTTTCCGCCCAGTTTCGGGGCCCAGGACCATCACAGATCGATCTGGCTCGGGACATGCCTCAAAAAGATGGGGTCCAGGAAGCGATTTCTCGCGATGCCGTAGTTCTTTCGGGACAGGGCCGTTTGGGGCTCGGGAGGCGCCATGGTTTTCGGGCTGTTCCTTGAATTTGGGTAGGGGAACCTCTTTGTGGTCGAGGCTCTCCATGGTCGGAAACGTTTTTTTTTTTTCCGCCATAAAGGATACACACTGACACCCTCCAATGGATTATTCCTGGGCCTCAGCGGAGGGTGGCGGTTTGTAAATCACCACTGGGAGCCAGGGACTTTATATCCCGCCTCCGTCCCACGGGGTTCAGGCAAAATTCGTCGGCGGGTGTCTGTGAATCTGTTTTCGTGGCGTGCGTTTGCCCACCTCTCGGCAGTCTTTCTGGTGGCACGATGACTGTAAGCTTTCGGAGGGCCGCGCGGTTCTTTGGGGGGATCTGCGCTGGACCCCCCCGTGGCGGCGCCTCCGCTGCCTGTGGCGGGCTCCGCGCGCCCGGGGAGGGGAGAGTCCAGCGCCGACCCCAGGGGTCCGCGCGGGGCCTCCGTGGCTCGTGCCCGTGCCGCCCTTCTGCCCTCTCCTAGGACTGGTTCCTGGGGACCTCGTGGGCAGGGGGCATCCCGCAGGCCTTCAGAGCGTGAATTACCTACCCCGCTTTCGCTTCCAGGCAAAACCAAGTCATGCCGCGCGCCTCCCCGTCGAGCGACCTGACCAGTGCATGCCGTAGTTTGGCATCGCTTGGTATCTCTTGGAAGCGAGGGTGGTAAAAAGCGAGGTAGGTTTGTTTTCCCCCTAGGCCTACGAGAACGGCCGGAACCAGGAGAGCACCAGCGAGTCCATCCACAGCTACTACGC